TCACTGGCTTCCCAAGAAGCAGTGCTGTTTGGTAAATCAGTTTATTTCACATTTTCCTTAGCCAACATAACGTGTAGCCCTGAAGAATTCACATGTGCTAATGGTCAGTGCATCTCAAAAGATTTTGCCTGTAACGGGCAGGAGGACTGCGGTGATGATAGTGATGAAGAGGGCTGCACTGCTCCTACCTGTGGAGCAGGTGACTTCCAGTGCACGAGTGAAAGCGACATCTGCATCCCAATTAACTGGGTATGCGACGGGGAGGCTGACTGTACCGACCGGTCAGATGAATCTCCAGAACAGTGTGGCCATCAACCTGCCCATACTGTGAAGTGTGGAGAGAGTGAAATGCTTTGTGATTCAGGAGATGAATGTTTTCACAAGAAATGGCGCTGCGATGGGGATACGGACTGTAAGGATGGAAGCGATGAGATCAATTGCCGTAAGTAAGGAGCTGTTATTTGGCAGCAGAGGTTTTATTGGAAACCAAAATGATTTTTTATTTATTTGCTAGACTTGCATCCCACTTTTTGTCCAGGAGCTTAAGGCAGGGTACCTAGCCTCTGTTTTTCCCCACTACAATCTTGTGAGGTAAGTTGGGCTGACACAGTAACTCGTCTGAAGTTTCCTTCCAAATTTCCATGGAGGAGGACTTGAACCTAGGTCTCTCCAGCTAGATCCACACCTTAGCCACTACACACCGTTTAATTATGACAAAAACATAAGCCCCTGAAGAAAAGTGTTATTGTTTGTATACATTGATCTTTAGAAGTGGAAACATTTAAAACATCTGTATTCACTGTTTTGGTCCAGAATCGATTTCTATGGATGAAAATAGGAAAAAATTATCAATGTAGCTAATAGTTATATTTTAAATAAATTTATTTATTGTAATTTTGTAGAAATCTTTGTAAATATCACTATTTTAATTTTCCAGAGTTTTGTGATAAGGAATTGAATCAGTTCTTACATAGAATCAATTTATATTCTTTAGGAAGTACAGTTTATAAGCAGCATGAATCATTATACTTTATTGGTAGTTGATTTTCCCAATGAAACATAAATAAAAAGAACTGGCTGATTTGGCATTATCACTAAAGATGGCAAAATATGGCATTTTGCTTGCCATTTGCTTAATGCTATCTGGAAATATTACAATTTAGGTGTGCAATTTCAGGGGGCAGAGTGTTACCTATGAATAATCTCCATAATCAGTACTGATGATCAGAAGGCATTTCAAATGAATTCTGTGCCATAGAATTCCAATGAGATTCATCACATTCAAATCCTAAATCATCTTCCAAGAGTTTTTAAAATTTTCAAGTACTATATAAAAGTATTCTATAATGGTGATAAGATTCCTTTGTTTTAATGTATATAAGTAGATTTATGGGAAATATTTTAAACGTTAAAAATGCTAATGTGACATTGAATTATATACCAAAGTTTTGGAATTTGATTGTTTCAGTCAAACAAATATGGTTGTGTTGTGCGGGGGCGGGTGGGGGATAGATAAAAGAATAATATATGTGTATCTTTGTATTTGGTTATATTTTGTATTTCCCTAAAATAAAGATTAATATTAAGAAAGGTTCCTTTCCTGGTAAATGAAGTAGAGATGTACCATTCTTCAAATTTTCTTAATGATCTGAACTGATGAGACATAGATACTTTACAAAGGAATGACTGAACTTGACTTACTTTGAACTCGGTATTGATAATCATTCTTTTTGCAAAATATATTTAGTAATAACAGGGTTTTCATCTATTGTTTAGTCTCTAATTCTACAAAATTCAGTATCTTCCCATTATGTGTAGTGAATGTATTTATCCTCGTACTCAAAAATCAAGGCCATAGAAAAGGAGATAAAGAGCCAGAAATTGTTGTTTACACCATTTCCAAGGTTCTAAAGAATGTTAGAACACTTTTAAATTTGTACTTGAAATAATAGATATGAATTTCTTAATTGTCAGACATAAATGCCTCCCTAATCCTAAGGGACCACATCAGCACAGATGGTACCCATAAGACATCATTTAAGTTTCTAATGAATGAATTGTCTCAGTTAAAAATATTGACATCAAATGGTGATCATCAATACTTATTTGTTATAAATGTGGTCCTTAAACAGTATCTCCTCCACTCAGCTTCTCGGACATGCAGACCTGACCAATTCAGATGTGAGGATGGCAACTGTATTCATGGGACCAGACAGTGTAATGGTGTAAGAGATTGCATAGATGGAACTGATGAAGTGAACTGTCATGCTGGTAAGTAATTAGGACTTTAAGGTTATGCAGATGTGAGCATGTGACCTGAATATAGAGAAGTCCCATTCCTTGTGTTGTGATTGGAGGTTTCTTGAATTGTTGATATTTGCTTCCTGGAACATGCCCTTTGGGGCTTTGCTGCTCAGAGTGACAACGTTCCTGATTTTTCATAAATTAGTATTGATTCCCTGAAACTGATAAGTAGCTGAGTTGCACACCAAGGAGACATTAAACTGGGCATAGAGCCATTTATTTAATTGTGGCTTTCTCTTTCCATCCTCTAGTTAATCAGTGCACTGGACCTGGAAAATTCTTGTGTGGTAGTGGTGAGTGCATAGATTTCAGCAAAGTGTGCAACCAGAAACAGGACTGCCGGGACTGGAGTGATGAGCCCCTGGAAGAATGCAGTAAGTTGTACTTTAAGAAAGCCAACTAAGTAACAATGTTTTCAACTGGCTGTCACTAGTGAAACAATTTCTCATCCCAAGAAATTATGCAGCACTTACTGTAATAGGTCACATTCTAACCCAGAAGCTGTTTAGTTCTTCTTCCATTGCAAACAGCTGTACAGTTTCCCCTTCTTGAAAAACTTGCATCACTGATGCTTCCAAATAACAAATCTAAGACTTGAATGGCATTACTAGTTCTTCTTTCCAGATATAAATGAATGTTTGGTGAACAACGGAGGCTGCTCTCACATCTGCAGAGATCTGGTTTTAAGTTATGAATGTGATTGTCCAGCTGGCTTCGAGTTGATAGACAGAAAAACATGTGGAGGTAAAGATCCTGCAGAAGACAACATTTCTGAAGTTACCATTTGTTCATATTAGGACGCAGCTGTGAGTGTCTTTTTTTCCCTAGACATTGATGAATGCCAGAATCCAGGTATCTGCAGTCAGATTTGCATCAATACCAAACTGGGCTATAAATGTGAATGTAGCCGTGGCTACCGAATGGATCCACAAACAGGAGTATGCAAAGCAATTGGTAAGTAACTTGGAGCAAATATTCCACTCAAATTCTGTCATAGGGTGTTAGAATGCTATGGCCAACACCTCTCAGACTGATAAATGTTGTCGCAACCTTGCCCAAACAGGGGTGGCTCCAGATGTATTGGAATTACAACTCCAGAATTCCCAGCTAGCATGGTCAGATGTGAGAGTCCTGCCCAGACTAATAATGTTGATCTTGCATTCCTGACTGTCTCTGAAGCTTTTATCAGCTATCAGTTGGACTCTTGAAATATGCAGTTCCAGGGAGGGTAGCTGAATATGTGGATGGCTAAGCCAACCCCAGAATAAGGTGCTCAACTTTCTTCCAAGAGCTGTGGGAAGAGCTATTTCTTCAGCAACTGGCTTTAAGTTTTTATACTTAGCTATTTGTTGAAAGCTGTATACAAATCTTCTCTTGCAGGAGGAGAACCAAGTCTGCTTTTTACTAATCGTTGGAACATCAGGCAGTTTGCCCTTGAAAGGCAGGACTATACGCAGCTAATAGGAGACCTAAGAAATGTTGTTGCTCTGGATGCCGACATGGCTGAGCATACAATCTTTTGGGCTGACGTTGGGCCAAATGCAATCCTCAGGTAAACTGACTATGTAAGCTGTTTCTGTGTGAGGGTAAAAGCTTAACCTATCTACCATATCTTAAAAAGCAATCAGTGGGTGTCAGCCCCTTAAGATAAAAGTGCTTCTGATGCGTGGCTAACACACAACCTACGTGCTCCCCTTGGGTAACCCTTGACCTCCCCAAGATCATGCCACTGAAATTTAGCAACAAGTTTTCAGTCTTTGCAGCACAGTTGTTCCTTTTTAAAGGGAATAACATACACAAAACTAAGCACATTAAACTTCCAATAGCTTAACGCACCTATTTTGAGTAGAGGGAGAAAGCCAAAGCCCCCCCTCCCAATTAAAAAAAATGACCCTTCCCTCTTCACCCTCACTGCTGCACCTTCTTTGTCTTGGAATACCTTTCTTAGTCCAGTCCCCAAATGAAAATGGCTTCCTGCCCCTGCTTAAAGGTACAAGGCTTTGCTGGGAGACACCGTGCAGCATCTGATCTACACCTAGATCCAGTCAGTAGTTTGAAGTGGGCTGTGTAGCTCATTTATAGCTCTGGTTTTTATAGTTCCAAGCAGAGGGTGTAACACTTTCCATTTCTTCTTGGCAGTAGGGTGAAGGCAGCTGCTACTACAAGGCATGATCTAAATAGCTCCGTGGAAAATGACATGCTTGGCTCTTAGCTGCTAGCAGTCTGGGCTGATCTAAATACAGATAGCCACAATATTCTCATTGCATTGTTCTGGAATCTTGCTTTGTTCCCAGCTTCAAAATGGCTGTCGATTTAACCAGCCGTCACTAAATAAAAATTAACAAAATGTAACACCGCCTTGTTTCAACTGCTACTCTGTTTGAAGAGCTTTTTACGCTGATCTAGGAGAACTGCTCTAATAATTGTCTAGGTGTACTTCGAAAGGGCCTTAGGAGCTCAGTGCCAGCTGTATTCCTGACAGAAATTATCCTAAAAAGCCTTGTTGAACACAGCTACCTGAATTTCGTAGGTAGCAGTCTTGGTGGTAAAACATAAAAGAAAGGTAGGATAAAATTGAACAGTAGCTGAAGCTAAACTTCTAGGCAAGTCAGATCCGGGATTAACTTAGAACCAGACATGACCTGTTTTTTGTGCCTTTGTCATATGCTTAAATATAGGATGCTGCATTCCCTGGGGACTGCATTTAATGAAATGTTTCTCCCTAGTGCCTCAATTACATCTAGTAACAAACCAGTACGCCATCGCCGGATTGTAGACAATGTACCAAGTCCTGCAGGAATTGCTGTTGACTGGATTTACAAGAACATTTATTGGACTGATTCCTCCCTGAAGTGCATTTCGGTGGCTAGCCTTGATGGCACTAAAAGGAAAGTCTTATTTAACACTGACTTAAGGGAGCCGGCATGTGTGGCTGTGGATCCACTTTCTGGGTAAGCTCATATTTACACACTTGATATGGAAGTATCTGAGTATTAATTCTGAGTATCTTCAAGCCTTTCTAGTAAGACTGTCCTGCACAGAGATGCACCCTCCTGAAATTAAATCACCTCTTGGATTCCTGTGAGCCTTAAATCAAATAATTTGAGGGGTGATAATTGAGGGTCTTTCAGGAAGCGTCCATGCAGCTCGAAAGAAATCATAAACTGATTGTAATTTCACTTCAGAATCGCTTTCACAGCTGTGCTAACACCAGCAGCAATGTTGACAAAGGCATAGCAGGAGGTGGCATAGCAAGAATTGCTAGTTTGTAATATTAGATATTTGCCAGTGATGTCTATGCATCTTACTTGAGTGTCTCTAATTAATAGGTGGGCTACTTAGAAAGCACTGTATTTCTTCAGAACATAAAACAATGCACTGACGCAATAGAAAGCCTTAAGAGAAGTGAGCTTTGTCAATCAGATTGTATAAGTGGTACTTGATGTCCCAAGGACAAATAATCTATTGGAGGGGGAGGTCCAATATTCTGGCAAGGTTGTCCAAATTTAAGGTCGAACATCCAACTGAAGAAGAAATATGTTTAAAAGGAGATGGTAGAAGTAAAATTACTGACTCACAAGAGTAGATTTATGACAGCTCTTACCTGGTTTCTCTTACAGCTTCATGTATTGGTCTGATTGGGGTGAACCAGCCAAAATTGAGAAAGCAGGGATGAATGGACTTGACAGGCAGCAACTTGTGACAACAGATATTGAGAGGCCCAATGGGATTGCACTAGGTATATTAATGTTATTCGTACCACACTGGAATTCCTTTCTTAAGGAATTCTTGGAGTTACTGGTTAAATTAGACTATTACATTAAGGGTTGATAGCAAGTGACCTTCTGTATTGAAATACCATGTTAAAACACCAGACTTTTCTCTTTCCTCCCCACCTAAAATCAAGCCAATACCTAGTTTGATGGTATTGACATATCTGTATCTTGGTTTCTGAATGGCCATGTCCATCAGCTTTTGGCAGTGATAAGAGTTCCTTCAATCACTGCTTGCATTGGCCTTTATTTACCCGTTGTGTGGTCAAGGATGCTAGTTCAAAGCTTTCCTAGACACCCAGGTTTAAAGAGAGTTAAGTAGGAAAGTTCTTGTTAAAGCATGGTTCTGGCCTAAGTACTGAAGTGTGTTTTTGTTTAGATCGTGTAAAGAATCGTGTTTACTGGGTTGACTCCAAACTACATAAGCTTTCCAGTGTGGATATGAATGGGCAAGACCGCAGGATTGTGTTTGCATCCAATGAATTTCTTGCTCATCCTCTTAGTTTGACGATATTTGAGGTAAGAATCAAAAGTTGAAGATGTGTATTTTAAGAGGTTGAAGGGTAATATGGCAGAGGTGAGCTACCTGTCAGCTGCCACTAGTTCTTTAGGGGGGATGAGGAGATTGCACTGCTAAAATGTAATAGAAACGTGCAAAATTCTGGCGTCGTAATTTTTTTTTTTTTCATAAGTTGGAGAAGCTACGCTTAGTATAGCTATTTTCCTTTCATAGTTTTTTTTTTTTTTTTAAGATAACCTTCTGTCCTGTCTCCTCTTATGATGTTACTGCCAAATCTCCTGCAACCCTGGATTCGGGGAGGCTGGGTGGGGGAGACAAAAATATGCCCCTGATCACAAAAAAGTTGCAAATGTATAAGCTGGAGGAGGAAGAAAAATAAGCTTATCTGGAAGAGGTTCCTTTTGAACCTATAAGTGATGAGATGCGTGCTCCTTAGTGTACATTCCAGTATTCATATATGAGGAAGTTAAGAAATAATCCTGCAGTTTGAAATAATCGCTGTTTTCTTCCCAGGACACTGTTTACTGGACAGACTGGGAAAATGAAGCCGTGTACAGCGCCAATAAATTTACAGGATCTGAGCTGCAAACAGTAGTAAACAATCTGTATGATGCTCGAGACATCATTGTATATCATGAACTTGTTCAACAGTCAGGTAATAGCAGTGGTGTAGGTAGTAAGACTCCAAGCGAAAACTCTTGAGTTCTCAAGGTGCAGGTGGGAGGAGAGTACAGTATTGCTCAGGCTCTCTCTGAGGAGCAAAATTCATGGACAGTTTCAATCTGTCAAGTATTTCTGACTTTCTATTGTTTCTTCAAAGTGCCTTGCAATTCTGTCTAGCATTGAAAAGAGAAATAGTGCCTTTATAACAGAGATGGGGCAGCTCTCATCTTGAGCATTGGATGTCCTGGAAGGGGCGGGGGGTACTCCATTCTTTCTACTGCCTTCAGTACTGGATTTAAAGTGGAAAGCCAAGTAAGATGTTGTAATTGTTTCAAAGAGTAAATAGGCCACAGCTTTCACTGCTTTATTAGAAATTCTAGTTTTCAGTTCTAGGTGACTCATGCTTGAAAATTTCTACCCACAGGGAAAAACTGGTGTGAAGAAGAGAATATGACAAATGGAGGGTGTGAATATCTTTGCCTGCCTGCTCCCCAGATAAACAGTCGTTCCCCAAAGTACACTTGCACGTGTCCTGATGGAGATGCACTGCAAGACAATGGCTTGAAATGCAGAGGTATAGCCTTGGACTCTCTTCGTAGGTGTGCTGGAAGCGCTAACGCCCTGCCATCTCATGCGTACAGCTCTTGCTAATGTATTAAGTTTGGCCATTAAACAGCATCCTGACTGCCTGGCTTCTGCGTTCTCATGGATACTGCATGCTGTGTAAAACGTTAAATCTGAACATCAACCTGATTTAATTATCAGCAATGATGTACATGAATGCAAACCATAGAAAGCTGCTTCTCTGCCATGAGTTCACAAGCAACCTGCCTCAAACTCCTATTGGCAACAATACAGTTCTAATCTAGAAAGAGGCAAGATGCTTTGAATAATCAAATTCTACATAAACACTAATCCAGAGTCTTGGATTGCATAATTCTGGATGGTATTCTGATCTGAATATAAAAGCACAATAATATACAAGCAGCTATGGCACGCTAAGTGGCACTTGGTTTTGTGTGCTGGTGGTGATAGACTTGCAGCTTGATCCAAACAAACCTGTTGTAACCTTTGATTGAGTGGACCTTCCCATTCTGTTGAAAAACCGCAATCCTTGCTTTGTTTTCTGTGATACACATGACGACTCTGCATACCGAACTAGCTAAGAAGTGACTCCTAGCATTATGATAGCTGACATAATGATATCCTTGCCTGTTGGCTACACCTTCATAGCACAATAAATCTAACATCTTTCAGGGTTGGATTAACTAGGCGTGCATGACCATACTCATCTGCTATGGGTATTCCACTTCCACAAAAAGAGAAAAAAGAGAAAAAAGAGCCAGTGCGGAGCTTCAGAGTTACCGATCTGTAATTTCAGGTACAGGAACTGCTGTGGCTTTCACTGAGACAAAAGAGAGCAGCAGAACGGACAAACCACCTGGACCACTTTCTGGAGGTATTGGTCCTGATCCAAGGCAGCTCAAATGTGTTGGTGGTGAAGCAAGATAAATTAAGCCAAAGCTATGACCATTGAAGCAGGAATCAGCAACTGTCTGTCTTGCTGGGATTATTTCAAGGAATGTGGAGCTAGACTGACTTGACTTGTTATGGCAAAGCACTTGAGTTCTTAAAGAATGCATAGCCAAACATTTGGTAAAGTTGTACCTTGTGCCTTGTTTGCAGGGCTCTTAACTGCCTGGGTAAAACATTCAAAGCAGCTAGTTCAAAGAAACCATTTTAGCAATGAGAAAGGAACAAAAAGCAGCAGAAAAAATTAAGTATCAGACTCCTGCAGAAAGAAGCCCTAACTGTGAGTCAGAGTGAGCAGTCTTATAACTAAAGCAGACTGGCCTGAGCATGAAGTTCGAATACCTTGGCATCAAAGTCACATCTAACTAGATTTCCTGCAGCAACGGGACATGGAGCTGTGCTTGGCTAGATCTTTGTAAATTGTTGGGCAGCTTTATGGTCCTAAGTATTTGATCCTTTAGATTTAAAAGTCAAAAACCAACTTAAGTCTTGAAACAAATGAGCAATGAAGCTGCTGAATTATCTGCACTCAGTTCAGGTAGAGCTGTTAGGATGCCTCAAGGATTCAGCAAGTCATCTAATAGCTACATGGGCACTCCAAGTTCTGACAATCCAAAAATAAGGCTGGGTCCAGAAATACTCCAAGGGTGCAAATGTAAACCTTATGACGATCCTACAGCCTTGTTAGAGGCTCATTATTTACTGCTGTGACTAGAATCTCTGATTTCATCTTGCCTGGGTTTTCACTTCTAGTATTTGTTGATGCTTGTTGGGTGGACCTTAGATATCCTGCAGTGTTAATCCATCTCTGTTGGTCTATTGGTCCAGTCTGTTCCAGTTATAGCAAGCAAGGTAGTCATGCCAGAAGAGTGATGAAATATTTTAGAACAGATAATGGAATGATTGTGAACTGAGCAGAAACTGTTGATAATCAGCTGATATAAAGCCAGGCCACTTCCTGAATTATGCAGATTCTTGACTGGGCAATGTTGTGTTCTAGATAGCAAGCTTGCTCAGGCTATCCGTGAGGATAAATATGTTGTAAATAGTAATTGTTCTCTCTCCTTAGGTCAAAATCAGAGCAGTCCAGTATCCGAAGAGCTGGCTTCCTCCAGAAGTTCTTCAGCAGCATGGGCTATTCTTCCTATATGTAAGTATATGGTAGTGCCCTGAAATCAGGATAAAGCATTTTCAGCATGGTCTTCTTTCACACCTGCACCATTTTTTCCTTTGGGATATAAAATTGTTTTGGAAAAAAGTAATAACTAGAGGCAGCAGGAAAGGCATAGTGGCCAGAGAACCTGAATAGCATTGGAAGAAAACCAATTTAGATCCTGACTTGGTAGTAAGTGGATAGTCTCCCCCTCACCTTCCTTTCTCAGCCTAATTTGCCTCACACGATTATTGCAAACAAAATGGAAGGAGAGATCATCATGAGATCATGGAGGAAAAGGTATAATACAAGTAATGAACTCTTAGTGCACAAGACTGCATAAGATGGATTAGGGCATTCTAACTGAATTTTTAAAAATCTCACATTTTTTTGTAGTACTATTAGTAACAGCAGCAGCAGGAGGCTACTTCATGTGGCGCAACTGGCAACAGAAGAACATGAAAAGCATGAACTTTGACAACCCGGTGTACCTGAAAACAACAGAGGAAGATCTCTCTATAGATATTGGAAGACACAGCAGTACAGTTGGGCATACGTATCCAGCAGTAAGTGAACTCCTATTGGCTTCTACTATTTTTCAAAAGTCACTGATGGAAGTAAAGCAGGTGATTCTACTTGATACCCCAAATTTAAAGAATAGTTTTTAGAAAATCATGAAAGGTTGTACAACCTTTTCACACTTCCTGTGGCACCTGATTGGAATCCTAACAACTGGTGTAGTCTGTCTTTATTCGAGGATATGGATCTTAAACATTAGCCACCTGGTTAAATTTCAAAGAAGACCTTGAAGGACCAGGTTAGGGACAGATTGTCATGGAGAAAATCTATCTGTGTGATCACTAGGAGTCAATACTGACTTGATAGCACATAATAAGTCTCAAAATCCTGACTAGCTTCTGCACAGAATTACAATGTATTCGGAAAGTATTCAGACCCTTCACTTTTTTCAATTTTGTTATGTTGCAG